GTGGAGTAGTGCGTTGATCCCTGTGCAAGACACTTCACCCCAAATTACTCCTGTGGGGACTGCCCAGAGTATTTAATATGTCACTTGTTAAAAGCGTCTAACAAGTGACATGTTATGTCATGTAAATGCACAGCATCTATATAACACACTATAGGAAAGGGAAAATCCCAAAAAGCATAATTGAGCCTCTTAAAAATGTACGCTAATCTAGGTGAAAGTGGGGTCGTATGAGGTGCTTATTCAAAATCAAACTATTAAAACTATCCCTTTAACTAACTGATAGGCCACTCTTCTTAGCTTGTGTGGCTAGTAGTTGCTGATGATTGTAAGTAAGTAATATTAATTATTCTTTAAGCTCCGGTTTATTTTCCTTAAGCGGAAAAATACTCATGAGGAAAACATCTGGCTCTTTAATACTTCTCTATGTTCCCCAGCTGGTCACTGTCTTTGTCTGTCCACTGACTGGTGCCAGGCAGGTGTAAAAGGGAGGGTTTATCTGACGGTTTATTTGTGCCAAAAACAGCTTCCTGTTGCTCCTGGTGCTCCTTGATATCTGACCCATAATGTTCTTAATGTGAACCATCGTTAATTAAAAGAAATTGCTTATTTAAAGCAGCATAAAAGTAAAGTTAGAGGGACATAAATTGTTGCTATGAAGTCAATAAGCCTAGCATATAGAAAAAACACAAGTAAGATCACAGCATATGAGAGCTCCCTGGTATGTGAAGGAACTGAGCTATTGAAGCAGAACCTGACATATCATGCATGTGTTGAACACCGGCAAATACAATGTGTACTGAACCTGAGAACATGGGTCATTGTACCAGTAACTTATGTATATCTCCTCCCTGCTCCTGTCTGTCTATCAGTCCCTCTGCAGGGAGATGTCGTTCCTCCTCCCGTCACATCTCGACAGAATGAGCCGTGTGAGAGCGTTAGGACTCGCACATCCACAGCTTGACGGAGCATGTATTATAGATGCCCACTTCACAATGTGACACATCATGACATTATTTGCATGCGTACCACGTATTTGATCTTATTCAGGTAGGAATAATAAGCAAAGCGCAGAGATCTGAGAGCTTCTCAGAAGTAGAAGAGGGAGAGTCGTAGACCTCGAGACTAATGAACACATCTTTGTGCGAAGGCTCGGAAATGATGCTGAGTTTGTGATGTTTCTCAGAGCGAGGGCATACTTCAGTGCTTACTTTACTTATACACAATTGCAAGGAAACACAAAAGAAATGTTTCAAAACAATCCTTCTGTCTACTCCATAGTAATGAACTCAGCCATTTTATATTGCAGCATTCCTGAGCATGCATCATAGGTTTTTGCTATAGGCCTACGTTGTGTTCAATAAGCTGTTTGCACGTCATATGCTAATTAGAATAAAATTGAGAAATAAATAAGGTTGGACTGCAAAGGAGGTTTTGTGTTCGATTGGTGCAAATCATCATCTTAAGAGATGCTTAAATCAAAAATCCGAACATATCTATGACTGAGGGATTTCTTCCGCACAGCTCTCAACATGGCGATAACTGAGTCGCTCGCTAGCGGCTAACATGACTAACAGCGTGAACGGTATAACAGTAGAGTGTGTATTTAACACACTACTAATAAATACTTCCTTTAGATCTTAATACATTATACCCTTACACCAGACAAAGGGGGAGTCTATCAAACGGGCAGTTGGTGCAACATCGAAGTTTTGGACATGGAACAGCATTTTTTTTTACTGTTTTCTTATATATTATAGACCAGTTATTATTTAATAATGACAATAGATGTTAGTTGCAAGCTCTTATGAAAAGCCTTGGAGTGGTTCTTCGGCAAATGTGTAGACATTGTGCACGAGTATACACACAAATACAATATATTTAAATTATGATTAAATAATATCACCCTTCCCTTCAAATGCTACATGACTGATTCCATGACAAAATGTGGTCATAAAGTTATAAAGGAATTGTGTTTCAGAGATAATTAGACTTTTTGCATTACATTCATTTTGCCAAACAGTTAAGTTTTATGGGCCGATGGTGTAACCAGATGGCCATCAGCCTCACACGACTCCCCGCCCTTTGACCTGTCAATAGAGGAGTTACTGTTGGAGTGTTTACACAATCAGCACACATACACTTTGTCTCCCCTGTCAGCATCCATACAAAGTGACTTCTGCAAGGCAAGAGTAATAAGTGTGAATCAGAATGCTGAGTGGGCAGCTCTTTAGAAGTCTGTCAAGTCTGATGTACAATAAAGGTATTGCTGAGGAGGGGATGTTGAACCAGAAGCTGCACTATCGTATACATGGTCGCTTAATTTTAATGTCATGAACACAATATCACAAAGTGTATTTACTTTTTTTTAAGGGCAGGCTAGTTTTACATTGTATGATGTATTTATTCTACCTTTCCGGTCAGATAATGATTTCTGTCAATTTCTGTGTTGCATGAAGATAATTTACAAGACTCGTTAGACTTGCTTGAGTTTTTCAATCTATATTATTGGACAATAAGATACATTTTCATGTTGTGACAATGTAAAATTATTAGGAGAAGCATATTATTACCTCATAACAATAAGGTTATGTTATGTACAAACATGTATGTTTATTATTTGGCCCTGAAACCTGCTTATAGGTACATTACTGCCAACAACTGGACTGCAGTATACTGTGGTAAGGTGTGAGATACACATATATCTCTGAATACTGCGCCAAAGCATTATAAGGTGAAGTGTGCATCAAGTGCAATGTGTGTTGGCATTTTTATAACGTGGGACACATTTGCCTACTGCAGCTTATGAACTTGCACTCAAGTACTCAAGACAGGAAGTGTGTGTACTGGGATGGACCAACTGATTGCTAAGTGGAGGACCTAGTTAACAGAATAGGGCTGTAATCAGGACAGGGGAAGTCCCACACAACCGGATAAAGCTGCGTTCAAGAGCTGCATTCAGGGCCATAGTCAAGTGTTTTCTACAACACAAGTATATTTTTGAGATGAACTATCAATTATAATCATCATTCCTTAAGTATTTTTATTTTATCTTGCATCACAAAGTAAGACATCTATGTATTTACATATCACATTGTCAAAAATGATGTTTGAGGAAAAAAATGAAAGTGCTAAAAGACAGTGTTTTGGAGAATCTAATGTATTCTAGGGTCTCGGTACAGGAACTCAATGAGAGTTTATCTCTCTTTGCCCCACAAATGTATTAGTCACTGCACACAGGTTACTATGGGCCGTAACCACACAAAACAAGGAAACTCAGGTGCATTTACTCTAAGACACACAACTCTGCTAGCTCTCTGGTAGCATTCCCCGTCGATACCCCAGGAGCCTCCCTCCATCCGACTCCAAACCAATCAGAATGACACTCTCTCACTCAACTCACAGCCAAAAGTAGCTAGAACTGTCTGTCAAAACAGTGACATCCACTGACATTATGTAGTACATTGAATTTAAAAGGCCTGTAAACTCCTAACAATAAAACACATGAAATCAGCCCAACATCAACATTTCAACCAGTCCAATAATATTGATGTTCAATAATATATTCTGATAATCTCAGAAACACATACTGAAATGTGACCAATGTTGTGAAATTAACTTAATACAATGCCAAAGGTTGAGCCATTGTGAGTAAGCCTGAGACTTTCTTCCCTAAACATTAACAAATTCTGCCAACAAATGTTGGGTGTTAGAAATATGCAGTAGTGTTAATTATCCTGCTAGACATAAAAACAAATCTTTACACAATATAATTTAGCTTCTAGTCTCAGAGTCAGAATCAGTTTTATTAAGTTGGTTACACAAAGGGCCCTACAAGGAATTTGCTTTGGTATATGTGGTGCATATAAAGACACAGAAAAAAAAATACGTAGCAAACCAGTAGTCTGTATTATTGAAAATGTTATTCGCCACCAGTCAACATGAATTAGTTTGATAGTAATAATAATGGACATTTGAAAGATTTACAACAGCTTTTTATGACTGCTTAATATTTTGCTTCATGATTAATCATTTCACACAACAACACCCATGTTGCCTAAATGTGTTAGCAGATGCTTTAAGTGCGATACATGCTCCCATTTTATAATTGAATACGCCATATAGAACAGCTGGAGATAATATACAATGATGTATTTGGAGCTTTAGACCCTACAAATATATTAGCAGACTAATATTTAATTATATTCTGTTCCAATCTTATCGACTTTTAGCAGAGCCTGGTGGGAAATGTGTGCTAAAACCATGAGGACACAGGCTATGTAAATTAAAACTATAGAAGCTAGAAAAAGGTTTTTAAATAGCCAATCAAATTTTGTATTAATATATTGTTAATGTCATGAACAGGTCATTACTAGACATTTGTAGTGATTCCCGTTCATTTTCATATCCACTTGAATTGTGGTGGGGTCTGCCTTGTGTGTCGGGAGATGGAAGAAGAGGGTCACCCTCTGTCCTTTTGGGAGAGGGTGAAAGATATAAAAGTGTCAATGTGGATACCTATGAAATTGACATAAAAAATTATCTAAAACATTCATATTTCAATGAATAGCGTCCCCTTTGATGCAGTTTGGCAGACACGTCATCATTACAAAGAGCTGATACAGAGTTAGCTGACACTTCCATTAAACATTTACAAGGACCGGCCTCTTTCTTTCACTGCGACGAGAGATTTCTTGCAAGGTTATGTCTACAATGTCTACTCAGTGAACTCAACACAGGTCAAGAACCGCTCGTCAGTAGGGTCTAAAAATGTTCGTTGCATTAAATGTTTATTACATAGAGCACAGGACACAACAGAAATCAGTGACCTTTCAGGGAGAAATAGAGACACTCATCATCATCTGAGACTCTGACTCATGTCATCAGAAAGGGAATGAAAAAAAAGCAATCTGTTCCCTTTCTCAATAAAACAGTATTGATTGATAGTAATGATTTTTTTGTTTGGATCCATGAACTCAAGATTTCAAATTAAAGAGATTGACCGTTGTTGATAACAAGTCTTTATTTCACTTCACATCAACATGTTAAAACAGAAATAGCACAATAACACGATGGCTCATTGTTTCAACAGATGCCTCAAGCGATATGTCTACTAATGCTTTTATTACCTGTATCATATTTAACAGTCCGATGGAAACAATATAATTATGTATTTCGACATTTATACACCTAGCCAGGTTCAAATGACAGATGGTAATAAATGTGTCCCACTGACAGACTGCAAACAGATTAATAGGCTGACATGTCTTTCATTGATGACACATCTGTTGTCTTTTTCATCAACCTATCTTCCATTCATCATCCCCCAATTGCTCTTGTGGAATTTCTACAGGGCTTTCAGACTCTGAGGTAACATTGTCCTGTAGCTACTACAACCTACTACACAGTGTCCCAAGCATCTTTACATGGCTGTGGGGTCGTTGATCTTGCCCATGAAGAGAATGCTCTTGGTCGAGTGCTCCAGGATAAAGGCCAGGAAGGGTCTGTCGAGACGAAGGACTTCTGGCATGCTCATGGGCATGATTTCAATGGTGGTGGCGGCAGCTGCCTCTGTTCCTGTTTCATCCACGCTCAGCACAGCCTGGTGGGACACCTGTGGAAGAGCCAACAGAAGTTAATGTCGAGCACATGCAGGTTTTGAATATCTGTAGAGAGCAAAGGTTCTTTGCAGAATAGTACCTTGTCAACAGAAATGTGAAGGCATGTTTGCCAATCATACCTTTGATACTTTGAGCTTGACCTCGGTAGACATGCCAGAGAAATCGGCAGTTTGTCCAAAAGCATTGGTTATCCCCATTGCTTTCAGTGTACTGTCCAGGGAGGCTTCAGTGGAGATGGAGAACTTTGGCATATACAGATCTACAGAACTGAGGAATACAGAAATGCAGCAATCAGTGTAACAATCACTGGATTATAGAGTTCACTTAAAGCATGTTTACTTAACCTGAGCCATAAAAGATAAGGAATCTCAAATCAAATACTCCTGTTCAGAGTAAAGCCTAACACACGTCAAGAGTTTCCTATAATCCTACAAAAAGGACCTCACTGGCACTGTATATACTACAACCGTAGAAGTTGAAAATACAATAAAATACCCCTCTTACCTCCTGAAGAGTGAGTCATGCCAATGCTTGATGTGATCTTTGTTGATGTAGCCCTCCACCTCCGTCATCTTGCCTTCATCAGGCAGAACGATCATCATGGAGGTGTTGCCTTTGTAGGGCAGCATGATGACGGTGGTGTGGTTGTCGGCGTCGTGATAGAAGTCGAAACGACCTGTCCTCATCATCATATCCACCTGAACCTTTGTGTTTTCGTCCACGTTGAAGTCTGCCTTTTGTGTATGGTTACCATCGAAGGGTTTCACCCACTGTCCTGTACGAGGAGCATAAAAGTAATGCATTGTAGTTGCAATATATGCTATGATTTTGATATCTTTCAGACTGGTTTACATAATTTTTCGTGGCATGTTTGAGCTCCTTAAACTACACAAGGAGCCTGAACTGATATGAAAGCTTTGTCTCTACAAAGTCTCTACTGGCTATCTGCATGCTCTCTTTCAGATTGTATCGGAATGTGTCCTACCTTTGAAGTAGACATAGTTGATCAGCACCATGGCCATCTCGGTGTCCAGGTCCTTCACCATATCTCTGATCTTATTGTTGGTTTTAGTGGCAATGAATCTGTTGATCTCAGCTGCAGCCTCAGCAGGTTTGGTAAAGTCGACGTTGAAGATCTCACCGGAGTAGTAGTGCTTGATATCCTTCAGGAACTTCTCCAGAGGATTGAAGCCAGTGCGCACGGCAACGCCGTTACCTACATCCATTTTCTGATCCTCCTGACTGTGTCCCATCATGTGGAAAAGATGCTCGTACGCCTCGTTGACCTGTTCTTGGGTGTGAGCACTGTAGCCTAAGCTGGAGAACAGCTGGCTGTGGGTTTCCCCAGCAGCCCCTGTGGACAGCATGGACAGGGCGGTGGAGATGCCCAGGGGCGAGAAGAAGATGTTCTTTCCAGCAGCAGCGTTGGCATTCAGGCTTTTGTAAAGGGCAAAGGCAAAGTCAGCATTGGGAGCGGACAGTTTGTGGCAGCTAGGCTCTCCATCGTGGCTGTGAGAGGCATCAGCGTGGTGGTGGTGGTGGTGGCCGTCGTGGTGGTGGTCTGCCCAGGCTGCAGCCAGCAGCAGTGCTGAGAATGCACAACTAGCAAAGATCCCACGCATATTTACAGCCTGTCCACGGAAAATCAGAGGAGGTTAGTTGGGCTCGATAAGATTTTGCCTCTGAACAGCTCTTCACACTAACCTTTTTTTTACCAATTGTTATGACCTGGCTCAAAAGGCCACAACAAAGAGGATACACACCATGTAAACGGTTAGTAAAAGATGTTTATTTACACAAACAATTCAAATCCACCAAATTAATGAAGTGCAAAGTAAGTAAAGTATGAGGTGTGGACGTAGTGTAAATGCAGGGTGAGGGTTGCATGGACATGTATGTGTGAGGGTGTTGAGGTGCACAAAGTGAAGCAACTGAAATAACTGATAGCATACTCAACAGAACCGGGTGCCTGCAGGAAAAAGCAGAGGGGAAACAGAGAGGAGCAGAGAGGCTTTAAATAGCTGCAGGGCACCAGACCCAGGTGCCCTGAGTTACAATCAAGGTGGCTGGATGCAGCACAGCCACAGCCTCTCAAGATGAACCCACAGGGGCATCACACCAATGAATATAAGTCCAACACATCTAAAGTTTGCATATTTCACAACAGTGTTACACTTACCTTCAATGTCCTCTTTGCTGCAGAAGGTTTGCTGGGAACTTGCCCATTTATGCAGTAGCTCAGGTAGTCAACTGACAGTTGGGTCAAACATTAACCAGGGCCAGCCCCTATTCTCTGTCCTGTGCTAAGAGATATCTGGCCTGACTATCTACACTGATGCAACACAACTCACTCAGCACAACATGGGTAATGAACCACTGGTGAGATAACAGGCTATTTGCAAAGATGTGTGTTATAAATGTACTTCTTTGCATCAAATACCTTAATGTTAGCATTAATCATGACATACTTCAAGAAATTAAATCAGAAGGGATTTCAGAATTAAAATAAGTCATTTGTAAGATCGATTTTATTAATAAAATAGCAAAAACTGGCGCTCTTAAGCATATGGCCATTGGTCAATATTTCTGTAAACTTTATGTGGCTTAGTGCCAATCCACAAAACAACACAATAACTTAATCACATCATTGTTCATGTCTGACTTACACAAATACTTATAATCAAATATTTAGACTAGGGAGGTCCCATTCGTGTTTGTTTCAACCATTGATTACTACAAAATGAAATTTACTTACAACTGAACTCTATCCTGAATACCAGTTTTGAGGGAAACATGTATTCTACTTGGCTACAGTTGTGGCATTAAACACCTGGTTATTATCCTGATAAACCCCATCCCTGTTTTTCAGGTCTCAGGCTCGAAAATGACATTTCCAGAACAAATGACCATAACTACACTTCTAAAAGGGGAAAATTAATAATATTTGTTGTCAAAGTAATGATAAACCTGTGAGTTGGATGTAGAAAAGTCAGAATCAATATAGATGTTTTTTATTTTAAAGCAAATTCAGATTGAACATAGTAAAAAAACAGTAAATGATAGTGTCCGTCCAAAAAATATGTTTTACTTACAGTGAAAACTACCCTTGAACAGTGGCTAGCCGTCAGGGCCCTCTAGGCCCTCTGTGAGGGCCTAAGATATTCTAAAGAATAATATTTGAAAACATTAAAAAAAAACATTTTTTTTAAAATATTATTTTTTATATTTTTTTGTTGTTACATTTTTCATTAGTTTTACCAAAAATAACTTGATTTAATTGTATTTAAATAATATTTCCAAAGAAATAAATCCTTCGAATCTGCCTGTTCAGTTTCTGTTGGAATGTGAAGGGTTAAATGCCGTCTCTGCGAGTTATGTGAAGACGGAAGGGCTTGTTGGTCCCTCTCTACATTCACAGAGGGCCCCGCTATAGTAACTCAACGAGAGAGTAATGTCAAATGACAGTACAATTGACCAATCATATCTTCCCTCTAAATGGGCGGGCTTTATTTTCGCGGACTTTATGACAAGCTCCGCCCGCTGTGAGGTCTATGCAAGTGGTGCAGTGACGCGTCCTAAACCCGGAAGTAAGCTTCGCTCGGATTCCCTCGACAGAAAGCAGTGGGATTTCTCCATAGGGTTTTGGAAAATAGCTCGAAATAAGGTCTGTGGAAAACGAACCTGTTAGATAAATGCACCTTGTGTTCAGCCGGATAATATCCACATGTCTATCCTACTTTTACTATTTTTGAATCATAAATCTAATCAATAGATTTATGATCGATAGATTTATGATTAGCATAAGTTCGTTCATGATGGCTCACTTCAGTGATAGTGATGACATCGTTGCGAAATTATTAACCGAGTCATTTTCAAGATTGAGTTAAAATGATAAACTGGAGTGGCAAAGGATCAGCTGAATGACCCGCCATCAAGTGCTTCATCCAAAATGACAGGAGGATGGACTTTGTGTAGTGATTTATCATCAAAGGTAGGCCTAAGTCATTTTCAATGCGGGGCGCCATGCCGACTTAATTCATTTGTAATCGCTACTTGGCTGTGGGTGCCCTGTCATGATAGGTGTTTATATAAATGGTGTTGTTTTGTGTGGTAGAGGGTCGCTGTCATTGATGCGTTTTGCACCCCGGACCACTGTTTTGATATTCCGCTGAAGTCTACGTTGAGACGTAATATCTCTTCTTTTTTTCGAGGGAAGGGGGGGTCAGAGGGCCTAGGTATAAAACTCACGGCTCGCCACTGCCCTTGAATGATGGATTAGTAGACTAAAAGCTGTAGGAATCCAAAGTACAACATATAATAAGTACCCTGTATTAAGATTGATGCAAAACAAGTGACATTTGACCCTTTTAGAGAGGTTTAGCAAAAGAAACTCCACTTCCGGGGTCATTGGTCGATTTTGACCGTTAGAGCCAATAGAATCGAAGGGGATTTTGTCACGAATCTTATGTTATGTCACGTTTTTAGTTTTGTATGTCTAGGTTTGGGTTTATTTTGCTGTTCGGTTCTCCCTAGAGGTTTCTCAATACTCAAATGTCCCCTCCTCGACTCCTATCCTCGAGTCCCCTCCTCGAGACTTGGGCTGCTTCTCAGGTCGATTAAATGAAATCCTTGCTTCCCTCACTTGCGTCGTTTCCCTGCGTTTAGTCCCTCCCACCAGGGAAGCATGGAGGGACGCAAGGAAACCACGAGAAGCAGGGAAATGAGTTTTAAGAGCAATGGGACATCCTTTCCTCCGGAGCGTCACGTGAAGCGACGTCCGTTTGTGATGACGCTGCACAGCTGATCGTCTGACAGCAGCTCTGTCCCCGTTATTTCCACACACACCCCCGCCTCTGTTAGTACACATTTACTGACACAAACATTTGTATCATCTGTTGTAGACCCAAATAAATTAAATAAAATAAGAACTCATTCTCAAAAAAGATAAACGCCATTCTTAAAATGTATAAACGAACAATAGTTTGATTAATATTGATTAGAGTGCACAAAAGAAATAAAATAATTGAGAGAAGAAAAAGAGATATGTTATCTATCAAAACCCAGTTAGATTAACATTCATTGGATTGCACACTTTGTTTGTTTGTTTGTTTGTTTGGATATGTAGCACATTAACATTTTAATAGCACTTAATGACTGACTGAATGGAAATGACAATAAATGAAAATGTAAAACGAAAAAAGCGATCATGAAAATGTTTCCAACAAATGAATAAAATGATTTTTGACCATTTTGTTGTTCAGATATATCACATATTTGTAACTAAATGAAACAGGAATTGAAACAAAACACGGTATAAACTGAGGAGTGACTCTCGTGGGTTTCATGTATTTTCTTCACTCCGCTGGGAAACGGCTCTCATGTCAAGAAGCATGAGATCAGTGCATGCACTGCATCGTCCAATCAGTGAGCGATACACAGTAAGGGGGCGGGGCGAGTATCTGAGGATTTCATCGGAGGATGGTCTGGTGGTTCCTCGATTATCGCTCCTCCATTATCGCTCCTCGATCCTCGTTCCTCCGGCAGAAATAAGAGCCATGGGACGGTACTCAATATGGCACAGGCAAATCAACTTCCGGTGAGACCGAGGACCGAGGAGCGAGGAAATGAAAATAGTCGACCTGAGAAGCAGCCTTGGTGCCGCCCACAGGAGATGCGAGCGGAGGACTGATGAGGGGAACCGAGGAGAGAGGAGTGGAAGCAGCAGGCGGTTAGAGAAATGAGAACTCCTCTCCTCTGAGCGGTCATTTTAAAGAGACGTCCATTAATGATGACAGGAGGCACAGCAGCCCTCTGTCTGATGGACAGATGTGTTCATGATGACTTATATATTTACTTTTAATTCATTCACAGTGCGGTATAATGCGACAATAACAGGCTACAGATGCAGACATATACACACACACATATATGTATATAAATATATACAATTTCAAATCAGAGACTGGATATATCCCCCCACCACCCCTCTCTCTGGTCGCTGAAATGGGGAATTGAAATTACGGGCCAAAATACAAGTAGCCTATTAAAAGTAAGCATAGGACACCAAACCAACTGAGACCCGTCTGTCCGCCGCATCTACGCACTGTACAACACACACCTACACACTGTACCACACACACACCTACACACTGTACCACACACACCTACTGCTCCTAAAGCATAATCAGGCTAAAGCCGTTGTGTATTTTATTATGTGAAGCACTAAATTGTCTCAGAAAAATATCGACTCTTTGTTTGTAGATATCTACTAAACTACAGCATATATAGAGAGAGTAATGTAGGCCTGTTATACTGAGTGATATATATTTTACACACTGCTCTGCTTTCTGCACGGACCTCACAGCTGTTTTCACTGTAAACATCGCGTTGCGATGAAAAAAGCAGTTACTAATATAATATCCAAGGGATGCATGCAGAGCTGTCATTGGCTGAGATAAGTGGCCGTGCGTCACGCCTCCACCGTTCCCGGAAATGCATCCGTGGAGGAGCCGTGGAGGATGCATCAGTGTCTCCTCGGTTAGAGCTCCTCCAGAGAGTCTCCTCGATGCTCGGTCCTCGAAGTGCATTTAGAGAAATGAGATGTCCTTCAACATGGCGCGCTGAAATTCATTTCCGGGTCACTACCGGAGGACCGAGGAGCAGAGTCCTGGGTTGCGTTCCGATAATCCAAAAATCAGCTCCTAAATTCTAACCCTATCTCCTATTCCTTGACCTCTGAGTGAAACGTCACGGGGTTAAGGGATAGTAGATAGGATAATTCAAAAGGACTTAGGAGAAGAGACTGCGGTACTTTAGAGAATCCGAATGCACTTTCACTATCCGACGTGTTTATGATGCGCCAGCGGACGTCATGAATGTGCGTCTGCTGCTGTGGGGAAACTATGGAAACTACAGTTTTCTATACAGCGGACTACAACATGGATGTTTCATAAGAACGAGGGACTACTGTAAACGCATCTAGAGACTCTGCACCGTGCTCTGATGCTGTTGCTTTATGCTTTATGAACGTGGACAACAGAGAAACATATTCTTCATGACCAAAGTTGGAATTGAAATAAAAAAGGAAAGTGAAACTTATGCTCGTCACCCTCTCCCTCCGGTCCACATTAATACAAATGATCCCAATATGTATGATTGTATGAACTATGAAAATATCTTAAAATCAATACAAATGTATTTATTATAAACGTTAGTCCTTAACACCTATCACTGTGTATATCACCATTCAAACATCTTTTAAAAGTTGAACAAACTCCACACAGCTCAGTAAAGACTGTGAAATGTTGACT